TTGTAACAAACTTTGTTTGGAAAATAGTTTAATTATCATTTAAAATAAGTAAAAATACTTTGAAGAATAGTCCTAAACTAATTTATTATAGCTGTTATGCACTACTTTTCAAGTTTAATAAGCTTTACTTTTGACATATATATTCTACTCCAGGATATTGGAGTGATTCCTTTATAATCACAATATTTTCTTTCCAAATCTCATGTTGGTTTATAATTTGTAAGATTTTATTTAGGCTTTACCTGTATAAGCTCACTGCCATAGAATCTTGACGCCGGGTGTATAAACATGCTTATTTTGAGCTTCTTTTATATATTTCTAGTTTATTACTAAGAGTATGCTTTATGATTTCTTTGTTTGATTAGCCACGATATGACAGTGATATTGCAGTAACCTCAACTTTCTGAAAAGGTAAGCCTAAGGGTTTACATCATAAGATAGTAATTTTGTTATTAAATTTTAGGCTAATGACAAGAGTACAGTTTTCAAAGTGTATTTTCTTCGCACTCGTAAACAGTCATCATAGCTGCCATCTGAAGGCAAATTTGAGGTTAGGAGTTCCGAAATTTACTGCTGGAGGGGGGAAGGAGAAGAAAATATGAGAGGGTGAGACGTTCTTAGTGCTTTTATTAACATCAAAATACTTTCGCTCTTGCTGTAGCTTTCCCAAGGTCTTCGTGACCGAAGCGCGAGGGGTATTTTAAGGTCACTTATTCCATATTATGTCAATTTTAAGCAGTCAGTCGAAAGATTGATGAGAAACTTATAGAATACATCATTTTCGGAATAAATTTCCTCACTATAGAAATACTTCGTAAAACAATAACATTCTTCTTGTATTGTAACAATTACTGTTGTGACTTTTATAAGTTATTTGCTCATTTAAAATGTAAGAAGTAATTTGAAGCAGCTTTTTATTCCCTAGCTGCGTGATATTTATTAAATAGTGGAAGGTAGCGAAATACTCGCAAGTAAAGTGTTTTGTGTTGTTGTTGTTGTTTTCGGATAAATTATAGTTTTGTGTTCGTAGTAATTCATTCATTTGCTCATTTATGCTGTGAATACAGAACATTTTAGTTTGACGGAAATAAAGTTAAGATACAGCAACACTGATATATTTCGATTTCATTGCTATCAAGTGTTGTGCATTTTCTTGTTCATATAAATAGTGTGTAAGAATATACGCCGGTTTTTGTTTTAATAATGTTTCACAACTGAATAATTTCCAAAAATAATCAAACGTTTGAAAGAGCTGAGCCATTTTGACAAATAAATACAGAAATTGGTCTCTTAATGCGTGTAGTTTAATAATATTCTGGACAATTAATTAAAGTCTCTTTCGATCGTTTTCATCTAAGGATGAAATCGTCTATTAAAAATTAAAGTGATACACAGGCGACACACTTTGTACAAAATGGTGAGGTAACTTTTCGCATCTAGTTGTATAAGTAATATTTCTTTTACATATTCTTGTTTTTCACGAATACATATATAATTTTCTTTCTGTTTATATATATGAATATGCTAAATGATTTGAGAGCATTAAATCTGTTTTTTCATACAGAGCTGTGCAAATGTCCATCAATATAGATCAGTACTGAAAATTAAACAAAGAAGACAAACCAATTATAATGATGAGGTTATGAAAGAAATGAATTGTTTAAAACACTAAATGTTAACAATTGAATTGTTTTTACTGCGTAATTAGTGACGGATGTTGTATTTAGTACATCGAACTAAGAATCAGAAAAACCAAGGCTCGACTCGTGATATCCAATTCAACAAGCTCCGCACTTTCATTTGTAAGGGCATTATAACTCTGACGATCGAACCTGTTCTTCAGTTAAGAGCAGCCACGTAGACGGTGGGTGTTGTTAAGTGGTTATCTTTCTTATGATCAGCAGCTCTGTATTATTGATGGCTATGGTAGAACCTTAGGGATCTCTAACCAGATCATTTATTCCATGTGGCGTGCATGGTTACGTTCAAATAGAAAATACCACTGCTATCCCGTACCATGTATGAACTTTTCTGAATAAAAGTTAACAATACTCAATATGTCTAAATTAGTTCCTATAAGACAAGTACTGTAGCTTTTAAAATATGATCATTTTAATTATGGGGTTTGCTTTATAGTTTAAGGCCCGGAAGGGCCTGGAGGTTAGAGCTCTCGATTCGCAATTTAAGGGTCGCAGGATCGAAACCTGTCACCGAACATGCTTGCCATTCCAACTAAGGGATGTTATAAAGTTATGGTTATTTCCACTCTTTGTTGGTAAAGAGTAGCGCAAGATTTGGCGGCGGTTGGTGTTTACTGTCTACCTTTTAGGTTATCACTTCAAAATTGAGACAGCTGGTGCATATCCCTCGAGTAGTCTTGCTTTGAGCAAAATAAAACAAAACCTTATAGTCACTTTGTGTAATGAAAATAGGAATATTCGTGGTAGGATTAATATATTGTAATTTATTTATAACACTGAGAAGTTTGAGGTAATACTATTACAGAGAACACGATCTTAAGATACAATAAACGTGTGTATTTTCACACTTATATATCTTCCTCCAAGACCGTAATTTTTGTTTTTTTACGATACTTTTTTTTAGCTACATCCGGAAGAATACCAAGTGTTGAGAATTTTAAATAATTATGGTAGAACGCCATCAGACCAAGTTTCTTGAAAATACCAACTATGTAAAGAAAAAAAAAAGCTACAAAACTCTGAAATCGCTAAATTCCTCAATCACAGCCATCTTGTCAACCACAACCATCAAAATAACATAAAAATAAATCAAGTGGTAGCAGCTTTCATTCAGCCTTGTAAAGAATGTGGTTAGCAGAATAGGGAGTTTACTCTTCGTTAAGCTATATATATATGCTGGCATAATGATAGAGGGATCAGAATCCAAGTCTCGGAGGCACTCAACCTTTATTCCCACGTTGTTTAAGCAGGCCATGTCGAATAAAATAAAAGGAAACTACAACTACCGCTATGTATTTAATTTCCTGCTCTCGCTTTTCAAAAGCTTTCGATAAACCTATTTGATCCACATGGCCGGAGGATAACAACAATTTATTTCTGATATATAAATTATAATTTATCTTATTTTGCTTTCAATTTATGTGCCCAATTTAGTCCTCAGTATTTTTGAACGTTAACATTTATCAATATTTGAAGCTACAGATCTTTTGAGGTATTCTATTCCATTAGTTTACATTTTATTCCAAGTTTGTGACACTGACTTTTGAAACATTTGTCTTCTGCTCGTAGAACTTATAATAGAACTTTTCTTACCGGATTAAAAAAGTAAGGTTTTTAATCTATATTTTTTTAAATTTAGGCACAATGTAATCTTACCTGGGAACAGCTCTTAGGTTTCATGAGGGGATATTTTAACTTACCTGTAGAGGGTAAGAACCTCATTGTTATGATAAATTTATAGTTGTTACACAACGAGCGACTCGCAATATATATATATTAATCTCTTCATAATCTTTTTCCGTTATCAGTCCTCAATGTCATAAACATTTTCCGTTATCAGTTTTTCGTGTCGTATATGATCTTTTGTTCTTCTACAAATAGTTTAAATTGAAAACAAACTTGACTACTCGATTTGGTGTTTATAGTTAATTGATGACGAGTGTTTTAATTGATGTTCCTTTGCATCAGGGTCGCTTGATGTTGACCAGACATTCTTATTCTCTCATGTTTAATGTAGAGTTGAAAGTTGAAGTTACTGGTCTCGAGTGTGTCCTGTGGGTTCATGACAGTAACACACCTTGTTTGTTCACTCGTTTGTTTGTTCGAGATCTAGTGTGTGTTGTGGGTTCATGATGTTTTATAAACAAAATATGTAAATATGTTCAAAAACATCACATTTAAGGCTTTCTCTGAAGTGAGAGAAGTTAATGGAAAGAAAATATAGAGAACTTTTGACTATCATAAATAAGACTTTGTAATTACACTTTAGAATATAAAAAATGAAGAGTTCAAGGACGTTATTGTTAGTTCAAATTCCACTGTATAATATTTTAAGAATTTTGCTTTTTTTGGGTATAATATTTATTCAAAACATTGGCTTTTAAAAGAAACGAATTTAACTCCTACAACTGTACTAAGCTGTGCAACGTTTCATTTTCCAAAAATCAAGTTTATTTGCTTTGAGGAGATCGGTCTTTAATTGCAGCGATGAAATACTTCACAAACTGAAACTATGATTTCAATTCATGCGGTCTATAGATCGTTAGTTTGTGTGGTATTACATCACTGTAAGACTGATAATAATGTTTAAAAAAGATTTATTTAAAACTATTATCAACCCTATTATGATGAAATAACACACAAAACACCTAAACAAGATATTGTTACGGAAAACGTACATGAGAATAAAGTTTAGTACAACACTGCTAAAACTCATAGCACTATAAAACAAAAAAAAGTCAACAAAACTCACAAATATTACTTATACATTTATGCTTCCAATTTACATGTTTTCGGAAGAAAAAGAAAAGTATTATCTCAACCAAAGTTTTCTCACTTATTAAACAGGTCCAGTGGACTAAACTTTAAGCAGTTCTGTTCGGCCTAGAATGGGTTAACGTTTTACAAAACAAAACTACAGATTTTCATTTGTGCATACATATCTTTAAATTTAAATTAAAACGTTCTTCTGAAAGTGTTTGTTTTGAAACGCTAGGTTTGTGATATACACTGCATGATAAAAACAGTACTGATTGCCAAATATATACATAGAAATTTGAAGAAGGTTTTTGTAGTTGTCCTGGAAAGAGTCCTTGAAAACACCATGATTACCGAGAATAACGTGATTAATAAAGAAAAGCTAAATTCACAGATGGCGCCAGTTTTCCCTCACTATTGAACAGGCTTCTAAGCTTTATCTCAGATTAGATTTAAAAAGATTTATAACTGTCCTCTGAAACGGAAATAGTTTCATTCCGTGATTAAAGCTCGTTTGTGACTCACGCTGTCTGCAGAACCTACCTGGTCTGTAAGTTGCTGGTTTACCGTAGCCGGGAGTACGACATTTTCTTACCTTGCCCGAAGCGTTTAGTTTCGGTTCACTGGAAAATAATTTTTTACTGTGGTGAAATTGTATCATTTTGTGGAACATCTCTGATTAGAGAGTACAGGCCGAGCTTGAAATTGTTGAGATCAGAGTAATAAATAACTCTTTACCTCCTTTTGAAAAATAACTAAAAACTGAGTAACTGTGACATTCTTATAATCTATACGACATCAATGCTAAGAAAAATGTCTTATCCAGAATGACAAAAATGGAAAGTGAGACACTAGAAAAACATTTTAAATGAATCGTTTAGTGCTATTAGATCTTACAATACTAGTTTAATATAATAGTTAATTGGATCTTTTCTGTTTCATGCACCGCGTTCAAATAGAAAATAATATATATTTTTGAATGTTGTTTTTAATGCTAATTTCAGAAATATAAATTAAAATTTGGAGAAGAAACGTTTTTTTATATTTTTTATTTTGCTATGTTAGATCAGTTTATGTGAGGTTGGATCAAGTTAGACTAATTAGTAAATAATTACATGTTTATTTAAACAAAAAAGAAATTTAATTAAAAAATTAAAATACTTTCACATTTCTTCCACTTTAAAAATCAATTCTTCAAATTTTAATTTATATTTCTAAAATATGCAGCAAATTGAAACTACTTGGAATGTGGTTAAGAGACGTAACAAGCGACGTAACAAGTTCTTTTGGCGTCGTAGGCATAAAAATTATGATCTCTTCAGGCAAATATTTAAGAATATTTTTGAATTTTAACACTGAATTTGTTACATTGTCACTAGATACTTTGTATTGTCTTGATGTTTTGCAATTCTTTTAAATACTTCCTTTGTTTTTTAAACAAAATATAAAATATAAAAAAATATTTCTTTTCATTTTTCCAAATTTTAATTTATATTTCTGAAATCAGCATTAAAAACTACATTCAAAAATATATATTTTATTTTCCATTTGAACGCGGTGCATGAAACAGAAAATATCCGTTTATTTAATTAAGTAACAAATGTTCATGAGCTGTCAGCAGTACAGAAAATTATCACTGGTTATAAAATTCAAGATCGAAAATGACTCCTAAGAAATTAATTTATATCTTTGAAGCTTAATTTCAAATATTGATTCATTAGAGCAAATATCTTTAAATCAGAAGCGATTTTTCCAGGTTCAACTAAATATATTTCACTATTTTTGTATGTTGTAAACCTTTTTTTTATTTCGTCTATTAAAGTAAAACAATTCTGTCGGGGTTAATTCTATTCCAATATTTTGGTTTGGCTTCGTCTGTATACAATTCATTAAAGTTCACCAATTTGTTTTAAAATTAATATGGTAGATTTATTATTGTTTACAACTAGCGTTTGGTTTTAAATGGATTGTTTTTATTACAAAATATTATCGTTATTAATCCCAGTTTGCCCCTAATAAAGAAAGGTCTTCCTTTCTAAAGCGCTCTGGTTGGATAATTTCTTATTTCTTTATCTTATTGGTTTTATGAACCTATATGTTTTCCTAACACCATGAATCGTTATATCAATAACAATAATTCAATATTAGAAACAACTTTAAAGAAAATAAATTTCAGACAAGGTTTTATCGCACTCCATGATGATTCATCTCATTTCCAAACATTGGAAACTAACTTAACCCTTTCCAGAGAAATGGAAACTTACTTAACTCTTTCCAGAGAAAAGAAATGAAAACAATTTCTTTTACAATTACCAAAACTTCTCCATTTTCTACTGATCTATACCAATTTCTTCGTCCCTCAGATTGCTGTACTTCTCAAATTTATGGCCTCCCTACAACACACAAACCCTGACGCTATATTGTTTTAGCATAAAAATATTACAGATACAGTCTTGGGATGTTCCTCACTTAGATGTTTTCTAAATATGTTTCTCGTGCTTGCTCCTTCATAAAATCTTCTGAAATGTTTATCAGAAAACTCCGAGAACTCGGTCATTTTATTCAGTTAGTCATATATGATGTACAAAATTTATGCATTTAAGCCCTCGTCCCTGAAGCAATAAATGCTCCTCTGGAATGTTAGCAAAACGATTCTAATCCTCGTTTTCACCTAAACATCAACACCATTAGAAGCCTGTTTGTCTTTGCAGCTCAATCTTCCAGTATCCAGTTTAAAGTTGTAAATTACAGTACTTGTCAATGTATTCATGATAAAAATTCACTTTACATAACAGCTTTTCTAGTTCCGATGTTTTGATGACATTCCTTTCAGGTTTCTATAAGTTTGACAACGTTTATAGCATTTTTTTTCTAACTTAAACCAGATACATCCAAACATAAAATTGATGATGAAAGATGAAGCTGATGGCAAATCGTCTTTCCTAAATATTTATGTTAAAAAGACAAACACAGGCTTCCAAACCTTCGTATTTCATAAACACACTCACAGTGGTCTTGATATCCATTGTAATTCCTTTCATGACCAATACCAAAAGTTAAGTATATAAAAAACTGCTGTTCGTACAAATAAATCGCCCCCCTCTCCCAGTGGCACAGCGTCATGTCTGCGGATCTAGAAACCGGGGTTGATACTCGTAGTGGGCAGAGAACATATAGCTCTTTGTGTAGGTTTGTGCTTAATAACAAACAACAAATAAAATCATAAGATCCAACCTCGATTGTTTCGAAACAGAAAATGACAACCTTAGATTTCAGTTTTGTGTACAAAAAAATTTCCCTCCCACTGTTGTAAATCAAGTAATTGCTTCATTTGAAAATGAGCCACAAATTGATATAGAAAATGAATCTTTCGCAGATATCTTTGTGTTCTGTGTTTTACCATTCATACCAAACTTCTCTCATCTAGTTATAAACAGTCAAAGAGTATAAAATTGACATTAAAGTACAATTTACATGGAGAAAACTAGATCAACTGATATCCAAAAAATATATAGACAACTATGCTTCAGGAAATGTGTATGCAATATAATATACAGATTGTAAAAGATGTTATATTGGTAAGTCTAACAGACAGCTTTCTACCCGTAAGATGTAATATTGGTGAGTCTAACAGACATCTTTCTACTCGTAAGATGTTACATTGGTAAATCAAACAGACAGCTTTCTACCCGTAAGATATTATATTGGTAGGTCAAACAGACAGCTTTCTACCCGTAAGATGTTACACTGGTAAATCAAACAGACAGCTTTCTACCCGTAAGATATTATATTGGTAGGTCAAACAGACAGCTTTCTACCCGTAAGATGTTATATTGGTAAATCAAACAGACAGCTTTCTACACGTAAGATGTTACATTGGTAAGTCAAACAGACAGCTTTCTACCCGTAAGATGTTACATTGGTAAATCAAACAGACAGCTTTCTACCCGTAAGATGATATATTGGTAAATCAAACAGACAGCTTTCTACCCATTTGCGGGAACATTTAAAATCGCCATCTCATGTTTTTCATTAAATAATATCGTAGAATATTGCCAAAAATACCGTATTAAAATAAATGTCTCCAAAAATCAATTGGTAGCCTTCAAAAGTCACCCACCCAAATTATACATAAATGAAACACTTCTCCAGACCACAACATCAGCAAAATCCTTAAGATTAAGCTACATTTACGTGGGTTATAAGCACGTAAATAATATTCTAACCAAAGTTTAGCATCATACGAATTATGCAAGAAGTTTCATGAGCAAAAACAATGGAGCTTCAGTTGACAACATAATCAAAATCTACAAAATATACATCCACCCAGTAATTGAATATGCATACCAGCAGGGATAAACATAGTACCAAAACACATCAATAAACTACAAACAATGCAACATTCATTACTCACTACTGCATCCAAAGCACCCAGATACACTTCATCAAAATTTATGCACAAATATGAAATTTACAAACTATCTCCGACTGACTCCTACATAATTCGCTAAATTATTTCGCGAAAAATTGGCAAAAAGTGACCTTCTGTTTGAATTAGATTGCAACTGCATACATGATGAAGATAGTTCTAAGAATCTCTCACCAATTAATATGTATATTCAAAACAAGAATTTAATTTGGCCACATTGCGCTAGACTAAGAAACCCACATTAGGTTTAAGCTGATACGACAGCATTGGTATGGTATTTGTGTAAATGCTCTCGATGAGAGTTAAAACCAATGTAATGTGATAAATAAATGTGGAAATGTTCGCCATGTGCAGGACCTTGGAACATGGAATAAAGAGAAAATGTATTTATTCACACTAATATAAATGTAAGTACCTACATGGACACTGTTCTGAGAGAGGTCGGAGTAACTGCTAGATATTCAGACCCTCATGTAAAATTTAAATTCGTATTCACCTGAAACAGATACCATCTAACAGGGGGGGAGGAAGAGGTCATCTGCACCTGACCCTCCCAGGTCTGTAAACAGCAGCAGCGTTACAGGACTAGAAAAAATAATTATTTTGATTTTTTTAAAGTAAAAATCCTCAGTATATAAAATAACATCAATCCCTGTTAATAAAGAAACAAAATCCTATTCTAAACAACTACAAATGTGTCCATTCATATTTATTGTAATCGATCTTTCTTTCTTGTGAATAATACAAATTTGTATATTAGGGATCAGCCCTTAAAGCCTTATTTTATATCTATATATTTGACATTTAATTTATTGAATACTTTATTAATTATGCTATTGCTGAAATCTATGCTTTTTCATTCTCTATTTGATGTCTGTGTATTTATTGCGTAGTTTCCGTTACAAAAGACTCCGATGTAAGGCTGTCATATTCAAAGCATTCACCTCCTTCCTTTAGACTTTTCATAATCCATCTAGTTTACAATAAAAATGTTTACCAGCGCCTGTTTCAACAGTCTGTTTGCACAGAAGTCCACAGGCGCTGCGTCGGGCGAATTGACGCATATGTCTTCATATTAATGGCTTTTGCCACTGACCTTTTGTATTCATGAAATGTCATCTGTTACAAGACATCGCAATTTGCTTACCACGGCTAGAGTACCACTTGTTGAATGTGTCTTTCT